TATATATATTAAAAATCAAAAACATAGTTAACAAAGTACCCTTTTAAAATAATTATTTTATTTTTAATGACGACATGTTTGGGAGACTAAGTCCATTATCAAGTCATATATATATATATACAGCAAACATATACAACGCATCTGGTATCTACAAAATTAAATGTTCTGACTGTGACAACTACTACATTGGACAAACCTATTGAAATTTTAAAGTTAGATTTAACGAACATATACAGGCATATAAATCGAAGAACAAAACATCAATGAAATCAAATTTTGCAGATCATTTACTAAAATCCAAACATAAGTTTACTAATATTGAAGAAAACTTAACAATATTAGAAATTGAAAAAGACAGAGAAAAATTGAATGTAAAAGAAGAAATTAATATTTATATGAACTACAAAAATAACAAATCAAATATTTTAAATACAATGATTCCAAAATTAAATAATCCAATATATGAAACAATAGCAAAATTGAGAAAATATTAATGAAAATAAGTACAAAACATCATAAGTATATAAATTAATCAATGAAGATAAAATTACCGGTATGTTACAAGTTAGAAAAGTTTTATAATATCGTATGTTATTTATTTATTTACATATTTTATTTTGATTTTTGTTTACTTTGAAAATGGCCTTAGAGCCGTAACTATAGTCAGTAAATATTTTAATAAATAATTTCACTTGGGTACCGGTACTAAGTTTATTAATGTTTAATCTATTTATATATATATATATTTAAGTGTCCGTGAACACGATAACTTGAGTAATTTTTGTCCGATTTTGATGAAATTTGGTTTGAAGGTGTAAGGCGGGATAAACTTGAATGAGTTCGCAAACCAGCATGATCGGACCATGGGAACGGGGTTTTACGGGGGGTTTTATGGGGTAAAAATTGGTTTTTGTAATTTTTGACCCTCTAAACTCAGAATTTCCCAATTTCTCTTCCAACCTTATTAAAGAGCTTAAAAAAAAAAATAATTTAGTATATCAAAGTTTTTTGTTCAATTATTGATTAGGTAGAAAATTAAAAAAAAAAATTATTTTAAAATTCCCATCTTATTCTTATGGAGAATATTGTAAAAATGTTGTAGTTTGCTTGTTTATGGATATATTTTGATTAAAATTGGTAAATTTATTTATTTTGTACTAAGTTATTAATATTTTACTAAAAAAACATACTTTTTACTTTCCCTGTAGCAGCAAGCCTATGTACTCATAAAACCTAATGTTAAATAAATACATTTAATTGAAAATCAATTCAGGCAACTGGAAATTTGCTTAGTCGGCAGGTTTGCTGTGGTGGAGGTATTTTATATTAAGCCCAGTTGGTGATTAAATAAGCAATTCAAGAAGTTAAATTACATCTCTCATTTCTTACATAAAGAGGAGGAGAGATTGTTTTTTTGACATTTTACTCAAATAATATTATTCAACGTTATATTTTATATAAACTATCAGAGCGTCTGAAGGGAGCCTCTTGGGATGTAGCAAGATGAAACAATATCGTCATTACACTGGCAGTTACTGTCATAACCTAACCTAGCTAACCAAACTTGCTGATAATGAAAAAATCGAGTGAAGCTTAAATTCTGTTCATAAAATAAAATTATAAATGCCTCAAATTCTAACAAAAGATGTACAGTTAAGAAGAAATGGCATTCTAAGCAAAATCTTTGACAAAAAGTTAAGTGTCACCGATGGGATTCGATCTAGATACCTCTTGCACATCAGTCGAGTACTCTATCCACTACGCCACGAACACCGATGGCTGTACATCACACGCCAGCAAAGAAAGAAGCAGACGAATTTGATTACGTGAGTAGCGAGAAACAATGACGTCATCATCTTCATCCGAAAGGCCCCCTCAACCGCTTTTATAAACTATAGTCTTTATTTACTATTTTAATAGAAATGTCTTGGCTTTGTGCGATAACAAACTATTGTAATCACAAATCCAATATTTACCTGTCCATTACAAAGTAAAAAAATTCATAATCACAATTAAACTCATAAATTCCTTGTACTTATAATTTTTGTTATCAAGCCAGGCCTACTGCAACACTTAGTATAATCATGTTGGTATAGTTTACGGTTGGAGTCTGGTTGGTGAGTTTGTTTCTCAGTTTTAATTTCTCCTGTTATGTTTGTTAGACGCTGCAGATAATAGTTACATGTTACACCCCCCAAACATTTCAGAAGCTTTGGTTTCAATGCCTGGGCCATCCGGCCTAAATGATCCTCCAAAGGTTAGTTGTAGCAAAACTTGGATTTTGCTTCTTGTTCATCTGTCAAAAAAGGAAAAATAATCAGTTTCAGATAGTTATGCAGAACATGGAATTTATAATTAAAGGAAAGTATTTTTGAAGAAGATAGTAGCATAAAGGGATCACAGACTTATTCTAATGTGGGTTCAAAACTTATATTTTGTCCACTTATGATCCATTATTATATGTTTTTACAATACAGACTCTTAAAAATACTATTTTCTCACCAAACAAATACACAAAATTATGTATGTTTAATTTTCTTTAGAGTTTGTAACTCTAGTTAGTTGTATTATGAAAGAATAAATTGACTATGGCTATCTTTGACTCTTTTTGCTGTAATGACCCAGCATGAACAATTAAATATAAAATTTTTAAAATACATTGAAAGAAAGTGTTAAATTTGTTGTGGTTAATCAAGCAATGTGTGTATTAAACCGTTTGTTTATTAGAGAATAAATCTTTCATATTTGGTCAGTTTTACTACATTTTAAGTCGTTAAACATACAGCTAGAGAATAAAACTTAGAAGCAATAATGTTTTTATCTTGTATTTGAGCCCGTACAAAAAGTTTATAACTCTTAGCTGGTCTTCCACTGATTACCGTTTTGCCATTGCATCGGTACAAAATGTTTTGTTTTAAATAGAGTCAACCAAAATAATCATAAATCGTGTAAGTTTGATAAGGTAAGCTGCATTTCATGTGTACTTGGAGTAGAGAAACAGAAACTACTTAAATGTATAAACAATGTGCGTTAAACCATTGACTTTTGGATAGGTACTGAAGTAGATAGGAACAGCTGTAGCCAATTGTATTATTAGAAAGACCATAGCAGAATGAGCAAAGCGTATGCTAACAATGAATACAAAAAAAGGGGTTTGTATTCATTAGTGCTAGAGTCTGAAATATTATTTTCTTCATTAGTTTTTGTCATTTATATTCAGTAATTTACAGGGCTATAACATTAACATAAAAGTGAAATGTCTAGTTATATAGTCAAAGATTAAATTTAAGTATTTGACAATGTGATTGTAACTGTTCCTAGAGAAATTTGAGAAATTTTATTGAACCCTAATTTTAAATTTTAGATAAACTAAACTAGTAAGTTTCATACTTTTCCCTCTTTTTCAACCCCTTCCTATTCAGTTCTTTTTTCATCCTTCCGCACTGCTGCCATCTCCTTTATAGTCCCAAAAAGTCACAATACGGTATTCATTACATCGATTTAGGATATCAGCTATTAAGAGTAGACACAATTCTCAGGAGTGTCCAAGTGGATCTTGTCAGTACTGTATTATTATATGTATATTTGAGTTGTTAAAATTATTGACAAGATGTATTGAACATCAAATGCTTCTACTGTATAACTAGTCTTTTAATGAAAATTGTCTTATATTATAAATTGATGTATAGTTGTTTTACTGAAACCTTGTGACGCTATTTGCAGCTTTTCTGTACACAATAAAGATATTTTGATTTGATTTGATCTAAAGGAAAGTTGCAAGAAAAATCTAAAAACACACATAAGTTTATAATAATTCAAAGAAGTACTAGTAATTTAATTTGAAAATTTAAAATACATTTGAAGGTCCGACTTGTGAGAGGAGGATGTGCTGGTCTCTTCTTCTGTCTTTATATAAAACGGAGATTGTTGTAGTTTAATGTTGATTAGATGGACACAATAAATACGTTACCTATTAATTATCATTGTATTGATCTCGGGAATATCTGAACTGGGTTCAGAATGGCAAGATTTGCAAGTAATAATAAGCTTGTACATTTTAGTGACAAACTTTTGTATTGGTTATACTCATTAAGTAACAAAATCAATTATTGTTCTATTTAATAGTTATAATATTACAGTTATAACATTTTAATCGCCAAATAATGATTCTTCCACAACTCTTGGTAAATAGCTAAATTCATTAAAAATATCTGATATGGAATAAACGGATCATGTAATCGTTTTATTTTGCACAGGCTTCTTCGTGTTTTTGAATGCTTTTCAGTCTCTTGGGTTTCTTGAGAAGTCATCATGGTGAGTACTTTTCATATTTTGTAGTGATAATGAATGACAACATCATTGCTGAAGAAATAATCGTCAGACTTGCGTGAGTAGTTTATTTGCATTAATATAGCTAAATATTATTGAACTACCATTGATTGTTTACCGAAAATTGCAGTTGAGTTAGATAATTTTCATGTTTACAGCATCTCTTCTGTGTTGTATTATATTAATTTTAATGTGCCATCATATTTTAAATTTCAGAAACATTTCTTCATGGTTATTTTAAGATAACAAATTCTACTATAATCTTATACAATACCGGATTTATTGTTATTTTCTTCAAAATTGAAAGTAAATTTATACATTATATAAATCAATAAAAGAGTGCACGTTATTAAAAGCTTAGGAACAATTTTCTTAGAAAAACAAGGAGTAACCCTTAAATCTAATGTTAAGTTTTTATAACTTTATCCACTGCTACATGAAGGAGCATACTGAATTTTTTGGAAATAAATTAATGAAATTCATTTTTTTACATCTAAATTCCCTGCTTTTGTGAATGTGATACTGTATTACTATCTGTACTTTGGATTTAACTTTATAGGTGAAAAGATGCACAACTTAGTTTTTCTATCTTGTGTGTGTTCATCTGTGTTTCACATGTGATTTACCCACATTGTTTGTCAGTTTCTAATGTAGGGTTGTCTGTGTTGCAGGATGGGATGAAGGAAGACGACTTGCCGCGGAGGCTGTGTCTAGTGTGTGGTGATGTCGCATCAGGGTTTCACTACGGCGTAGCCTCTTGTGAAGCCTGCAAGGCGTTTTTCAAGCGCACCATTCAAGGTGAGCACATTTAATGTGACTGACCGTCTGTAAAAAAATGTATACAGCGTTTTCTTCTTAAAAATAATTTGTTTTGTGTCTTGGATTTCCTTAGGGTGTATCAAATCAAATCAAATATGCTTATTTCATAAAGTACAGTTTTGTACCTTGAATGGTGTCAACTTAATCTATCTTAAATTAATAATTTACAAATTTACATATCTTAGACCATTATTAACATTAAAAACCAAGAACCAGTAAATGAAAATGATCAAAACTAAATGAATTATCAAGTAACGCTAAGAGGGGAGGTGGAAAAATACTCTTCCAGGGAATAAAACACTTTCTCCTCTAAATAAAGTTTTAGTTTTCTCATGAAATTCTTCCTGCTTTGTTTATTTATGATTTCACGAGGAAGCTACTTAAAAAAATTAGGGATGGTCAAGTCTCGAAATTTCGGGAAATTTTCGGGAAATTTTAAATCTCGTTACACGAGACGAGATTTCTTTTTGGCCGAGATTTTTATCAAGACAAGAATTAAAAAAAAAAAAAAAAAAAAAAAAAAAAAATTAAAAACGCCTGCAGAAAGTCAATGCAATACCCGCAATACAGGAGCGTGTTGTAGTTGTGTTTCCTTTGCGAAGGCGTTCTTATTTAATTAATTCTTCAAATGTAAATATTACTTTAATTATTTTAATTAAATTTGAGAAGTTTTGTTAAGTGTTAGCAGTGTGAGGAATGTTTTATTACTATAAAAAAAGTCTAAACAAGTAACTATTTTATAAAAATTAATATTTTATTTTATGATTTATTTTATTTTAGGATAAGTTGAACTCTATCCTAACTGATATCACTATGTTTCCTAATCGTAGGCATTTTTAATAATTTAGGCGTGATTAATAAAAAAATGTTATGCTGATGTTTTTTAATAAAAGATTGTAAATATTCTTGCCTATTATCATTATTTTTGTATTTAAACAGTCATCTAACAATGTTACAAAATCAGGTAAAAATTCCGAACGTGCATTTCCCGTTGTGTATGAGAAGGGAAATCCCGTCTCGATCTCGTCTCGAAATTTTATGAGAAATAAAAAATCTCGTCTCGTCTCGAACTAAAAATCCAATCTCGTCCATCCCTAAAAAAAATTTAATCCTATAGGCCTATAGGATGGTATTTTTCATCCTTACTTATAATACGTAAAGGGAATTTCTACAAAACACTACTCCTCCGTTAATAATGGGCAGATTTTTACAAACGACGTGTTAAAATTAAGTAATTTTTGTGTAGAAGCCCCCTTTCACCAATTCCTGTAATAAAAGCACTCTGGCTTTGCTCCACAGGCCATCAAAATCCCAATGTATTTCTGATGAAGTAAATATCTCTGTTAATAATGGACGGATTTTTACAAACGATGTGTTAAAATTAAGTAGGTAATTTTTGTGTAGAAGCCCCCTTTCACCAATTCCTGTAATAAAAGCACTCTGGCTTTATTATTAAACGTAGAATAGCTTATAAGGAATATTGTGTGGATAAATTACAATTTATTCTGATAATTGCTTGTCCTTAAAATCTAATAAATATTCTTCCACATCATGACATGGTTTAGAGTTAAAACATCAGATAAATTGTCATTATAAATATGTTTTCTTCAAACACACAGCATTGTTTTACATTACAAGTCGGAAAACTTACAACAGAGTGATTTATTCATTATTGTATTTCGAAATGAACAATCCTATTGTAAAACAACAGTTATTGCTGCTATGGCTTTTTGTGGTATTGTAATACACTTATTTCATCAAGCTGGTAGCTGGTCGTAAGGAACATCATATACCGAACATAACCATTTTAAGAATGTCTATATATTTGTCAAAACCTACAGGTTTAACAAATGGGTCCTTAGAATCTGTCCAATCTAATGTAGAGGTATATTACAGAATACAGTACACTGCCGCTAATCATTCACTTACAAGACCAGGGCCATGGTTGGAACAGTGAAAAGGTTCCATCATCCCCCGCGATCTGGGGGATGAGGATATTGTCACTGCGACCACAGAAGACTTTCAATATTTTTCCATGATCAAGGAAGACGATGATGATGATTCCGTTACTGCTGAGCGTATTTACAGTTTTGCCGCTTACGTGGAAAGTATTTTTAATATTTCTTTTTACCCGGGATAAGCTAGATTTATTCCACGATTGTAGGAAACATTAATGATGTCCCCAAAACCATTGAAAATGGTCACAATATTACTGTGATAAAATTTGATAGGTGATGGCACAGTCTGATTAAGCGAGGAGTCAGACAATTTGAGGTCGGATTGTGGGGTTCCACAGTACCTATTTTCATGTCATATTTCAAATAAATAATACTGCCAAATTTCTGTATTATTTAGCGACTCATATTGTACGTATTTTAGTAGTTGTTGTTGTTTTCAGGAAGTATTGAGTAGGCCTACTTGTGCCCCTCAGCCAACATCTGTGAGATTACCAAGCGTAGAGGCAAGGCTTGTCACTATGGCAAGTGTCAGGGTGTGGGTATGCTCAAGCTAAGAGTCATTGATGTTGTCGTTGTTGTCAGGAAGTATCGAGTACTCATGCCCCTCAGCCAATGACTGTGAGGTGACCAAGCGTAGACGCAAGGCTTGTCAGGCTTGTCGCTATCGCAAGTGTCTGAGTGTGGGAATGCTCAAGGAAGGAGTCAGACTGGACCGTGTGAGGGGCGGCAGACAGAAGTACCGTCGCAGCACTGACCTGCCTTACACCTTCCAGTACCAGCTTGCTCAGCCCTCCTCAAACATGAGACTTGATGGTAAAATATGCAGCTGAATGATGAATATTGTTTCATTTTTACTACCAATTAATTTTAATTTATTTAACCAAGTTGAATTGTATTTTTACAAGATTGCACGAATGATACTTTATACATTTGTAATTATTTTGTAAACCTTTGCTTTTGTGAAACTTGTTTTAGGCCCTATCCAGTTTTAAGCTGTTTTGTAAATTGAATTTGACAATTTTACCTGTTTATTCAGCTTTGCACAACATAAATTAACATTTAATGTGAAAATAAATCACAAACATAATTCACTGTACTATTTTATTCTTACTTTGAAAAAAAATCTGCTCTTAGCTCTTTCTCTCTAAATTAATCTCCTAGACTTATACTTAAAATCCATAATTAAAATACTACTATCATTATCAGTCATGCATTTTGAACTGTTAACCCTTCCAGGGCTAAACTAAATGAAGGGCTGGAGCTTAATTATTTTTTGCCAAAAATTAAAAACTAAAGTGGTTGTGTTTTGTATTTATTTCACTTGAAATAATTCATGGATCGTAAAAAGATTTTCCTTAGGGCTGAACTAATTTTTGTACAAAAGTTATGAATAAAATAAAATTTGATTTGACGGATATATCCGTCTGCCGCCCTCAGTGATAATCACAAAATATGAACACTGCCAATAATCTTGAGTATCTTGAGGGCGGCAGACGGATATATCCGCCAACCTTAGGCTATTCCTTCTCTTGTTTTATTTTTTATCCATAAAAATGTATCTATCATTCTGAAGTAAATCTAAACCACTCAGTTCCACTCCCATGTCCTCAATCCCATTCCCCGCCAAGACTTCCACTACGTAAAAACTGTTCTTCAGGTTCATCATATCCATCACATTCCATACTATTATTTTTCACTTCCAAGTATAAAACCCCTCTCAGACATACTTTGATTAAGCATCTCAATTACATCTTCAAATTTCAGATCGTTTGCATTAGTATCTTTAGCTCAATAACATAAAAATAAAGTACAAAACACAAAATGTAAACATCACTCACTAACAACCATGTGTGAAGTGACAGCAATATTTATTTACGTACACTCTATGGTGCAAAATAGCCGAAACAGCTGCGGCAATTATTATTGCCAACCACATAAACAAAATAACCCATTTATAATGCAGTATAATGTTAATTACCGTATTATAAACATTGTGTATCAATTCGTTTTTTGGACGGATATATCCGTCTTTATCCCAGAAAAGAAATTTCTCAGGACGGATATATCCGTTTTCAGCCCGGAAAGTAAACAAAGATTGACGGATATATCCGTCCATAGCCCTGGAAGGGTTAAGTTTGATTATCTGGTTCTGTTGCAGAAATCAAGATCCTGGAGGCGCTGGCCCTCAACGAGCCAGAGATACTGAGTGAGAGCCAGAGTGGTGCAGACCTGGACCCTGCCATGGCTACTGTGGCCAAGCTGAGTGACCTCTATGACCGTGAGCTTGTGGGAATCATCGGCTGGGCCAAACAGATCCCAGGTCTGTAAAATCAACACCATTTATCATTTTTGAATTTTAAGGTTAGATTTATCATCCTGATGGGATGCTAAATCTCTCTTTTAACTCACCGAACCCCAGTTTTTTCTTGGTTATTTTCTTGAAAACAACATAGGAGTAAAGAGCCCAATGTCCATTATATAAAAAAAATCTTTTTGTACCCCTTAGCATACCTCCTCATGCTAGGAAAAGATGCTAATTGTTGGTCCTCTCGGTCAATTCCACCCATTGAGTGATTGTATTAGATGACTGGTTCTGGCTTTTTTATCAATTCTTTGGTAACTCTGTCTTTCTTTCCGGTTGACCTTTTGTCAGCTTTTTTGTGAAAAGTAGATAAAATACAAACTTGTTTCTTGTCCTGCCACCTTACTGCCATCATATTGTGACTATAGGCTGTTTCATAGTCGCCCTAATTAAGTCTACCTTCTTTGAAACTCTCTGGCATGTTTCACCTCCACCAGTTTTCTGTTCTAATTACATTGAAACCTATTTTTTTTACCTATAGACGAGATGAGGTGAGTAATACCAATCATCAATTGTCAGAGTATGTCCTTTTCCTGCCAAATCTTTTGTCATTTCAACGACTGTCGCCTCACTCAGTAACAGCTTTTCCTCCTGTGGAGAATCCCCACCTCTTCAGCTGGTTTATTTCTTTTACTTCAGCTCCAGTATAGATCTTAAATGTAAATAATATACACTTCCAGATCCACAACACTTGTAAAATTGTATGCAAAATCTGGTCTCTTTTTAGGATTGAATTGGACATAGCCCAACCTCCCTCAGAACTTCATAAGACTCTCTAAGTAACTTTAAAGACTCATTTTATAATACTACCAAGCTTTTCAATTGGATTTTATAGTAAAACATGATAACTCTGACTTAATAACGACAAAGTGAAATACAATTTGATAATAACTCAGTCAGTTATTACAACGAAGAAGTAAAATCGTGGCACAAAGTAAATTCTATAACTTATTTTATAATACAGTAGAACCTCTTTAATCCGAACTAATTGGGACCGGGGGTAGTTCGGACTATTAAATAGTTCGGATTACAGAACAAATTGTTGTTTTTACATAACAATTGCTAGGGAAAAGTGAAAAATGCTTTATAAAGTAAAATACAGTGTTTATTTAATACAGTAGTAAACATAGGGAATAAACAGTACGGTACATTACAATAGAAACAATTACGGTGTGCGTATACCAATAAATTCAGTATTCAATGAAGAACTACTGTTCTGTGTATAGAGTAAAGCAATGGGGCGTTCGGATTAGTGGACGTTCGGATTACAGGGGTTCGAATTAAAGAGGTTCTACTGTATAACTAAGCTTTTCAATAAAATAATAACGTAAAACAAGACCGTAAAACAATGTTTACATCGTCGAAGTAAATACAACAACTGTATCAGCTGTGAAACCAGTGTAGACGTCGTCAGCTGCTAAGTTGCAACCTCACAACTTCAGTTTTTTTTTGCTGATTGGACTGGACATAGAGGACGAAAATATAACCAAAAGAAAGCCTGAAACCTGTAGAACAAGCAGCATATGTGATCTATTTGATTTCTGAGGAACTAACCGCACAAACAGGTTTTAATAGTGGACTTAGAATCGCCGTCGCTTTACACAATGGCTAATGGGAGTGTGACGGCGGATTGCCGTCGTTTTAAGGGAAGGGGTTTTAATAAATTATAAATTCCATGTTTAGGATTTTTCACTTTGAACAGGCCTTCTCTTGCTGGTTGAGCTTCCATTAAGACCCTTAAGAGAGTTTCACACTCCCCTAGATTTACATGTGGATGTGAAAACAAAATTTCTTAACGTTTTATTACTTGTGTATTGCTTGGATGTTACATCAGGGAGTTTTAGCCATCAAATTATAAATTTTTGTCAAATTATCTGTTAAAAAAATTAGTGAAAACCAATTTGTAGATCTTTGTTGTTCATAAGCATGACTGTGATTAAGAGGATTTTTTGTGAACAGGTTTTACAGATCTGTCACTGAATGACCAGATGAGGTTGCTGCAGAGCACATGGGCTGAGATACTCACACTGACACTTGCCTACCGCTCCATCCCCAAGAGCGGCAAACTACGCTTTGCTGCAGACTTCTCTCTGGACGAACGACAAGCAAGGGATTGTGGCGCTATCGAAGTCTATAACCAGGTAAGAAACATTAGAATAAGTTTAACTGTAAATGCTCAGTAGGTAGCGCAACAGACTACAAATCAACAGCAGCAATGTTGTGGGTTTACATTTTTAGTGGTTTACAGTTTAACAAAATCGGGTACTGCTACAAAGATAAACAGTACAGTTTTTCTATTGTACTGCGTTCACCATTCCCCTTGCTTATTACTTCCATGCAGAGTGCCATGGTCCATGTGGTTAGGAAAATAACCACATGCCCCGCCACAGCAAACCTGCAGACTAAGAGAATTACCATTTGCCTGATTGGATTTAGGCCTACACTAAAATGTCTCCTTAAAAATATCACATTCATTCCCTATTTAAATAGAATTAGTTTAACAAGTACTTAGGTTTGCTGCAACAGGTAGGGTAAAAAAGTGTTTTTTGTTGTAAAATGTTAATAGTTAATAGTTAATGTTAATAGTTTAGTAAGAAATTAATGTATTTTCCAAATTTGATCAAAATATGTTCATAAACAAGCAAACTACAACAGTTTACTTATTCTTCATAAGCTTAGTTACCTGCTCACGCACTCTACACCTCATTCCTTGACTGGACTATTAAGGCGGAATACCCCCACATAAACTTACACTAGGCTAATAGTAGTTTTTAAATGTCGATCAGAAATAAATATAGGGTTAAGTATGGTCAATGGGATGCCTTTTCTTTGCACTAATTTTGTTAAACCATTAAGCTTACAAAAGGAGCGTAAACTTATTAATAATCACTGGGTCGTGGTGCTAATTTATCGGTTTTGACCAAGAACTAAGCTTATCTCAACACATCTTTATTTGCCTTTTCACATTTGACAAAGACAGTTTCTAATATTTCAATTGGGGATGCCTTTTTATCGTCATTAACCAAAAGACCAAAGCTACCTCAATAAACCAGTATTGATTCACAACCAATTATATGTTTTCTGCCTTAAGTAGAGTTAAACCTATGGAGTGATTCAAATTATTTATTGAAAATAACATCAACAAAAGCAAACAACTAACTGTTTTTTACACAAAATATATGGTGTACAGGGATATATATTCTGACACATAAATAATATATAACTCAGTTTGTTTAAATATTGAATAACTTCTTGATCAGCATCATACGTGTTATTAAATTACCTGAAAAAAGCAAAAATATTTATGTCTAATAACACTTGTAATAATATATTTACACTTATACTGTTGACTTACAAGACGGTAAATACATATAAAAGTTGGTAAGTGGTGATCGATTTCGATTGGATACTCCAATCATCATCAGACCCAATAGGCGAATGACAAGAATCAAAATGGCGTTCCCTTATATACTATTGGTTACTGGAAGCAGGGCCGGGGATAGCAGCTAGTAAGGGCTAGACCACTCAGCCGGTGTACCTGCATCCCGCTCGATTCACCCATCGAAGTATATAACACAACTGGAATGCTAGGTACGTGTTCACGAAAGCGCGACGTTGTGGCAGCCTTCCCGCACGACCATGGGGGACCCAGTGGATTTTAGCCAATTCATTGAATAGTGCGCGAAGCTGTTAACTCGCTCCTAGCCTTCAATAACAAAGATTAAGTACAATAATGTTTATATATTCGTAATCTGCATTAAATGCAGAATGTAATGGTATAAATAAATTTTACTTTTGATTTAAAATAGAATTTCCACAGTTAAAAAGAGTCAACAATTTCTACATTGTGACATGAAAAAGTTAGTATGCGAGGAAGTATTTTATTTTTGGGCCAGAAGAAAACTTTAAGCGACAAAGTTGTAGTTGAGGAGTTGATTTTTAACATGTGATCGAGCAATTCACAATTAAGTGTGCAGTTTGTTTGTAGTATAGTGATTAATAGCGCGACGAGGTTGATTTCATGTCGCACCAACCTCCTCAGTCCAGCAACTCTTTATGGTTTTGCTACTCGATCATTGCAAAGCTAAATAAATTTTAACCTTTTTTAAGTTGATATAAGTTAAAGAATGCAACTAACTATTCTATGGATGTGATCATATATTTCATTTATTTGTAGAAGATAAATATCAATACCAGTACCGGGCTGCCGCCCATGAATGAAACTTGTATGGACACTGTTTTAAAAAACCGCTTGTTTCTCCAATGCTAGGAACATTTTGCATGAATGTCACAAAAATAAGTTAGCTGTAAGGCAGATGTTACATCCTAAATGTCTATCTTTACTTATTGATTATTTATTTTATAACTATCACCAGCTGGTTATAATGTTTACTTCTTCACTTTGTTTTTAATTTGTGTTGAATAAAGTTGGTTAAAATTGTACTTTTACAAATACATTTATTATTAGTTCTAATTACATACAGAACAATTTGGCGACGATGGAGGTGAGTACAAGTAATTCAAATACATCTGAAAACATTCAAATGATTAACTCAGCATTGATTGGACCCTTTAATGAAAGATATGAAACATGGGAAATGTATATGGAAAGACTAGAGATATCATTCATTTATAACAACATTTCGGAAGACAAAAAGAAAATTACGTTACTTCACTGTATTGGATCAGACACTTACAGTAAACTTAGGGATATATTGCATCCTGTATCACCTATAACTAAATCCTATGCTGAATTAGTTCAAACTCTTAATTCACATTTTACACCAAAACCAAATGAAGTATCAGAGACATTCAAATTTCATTGTAGACACCAATATGAAGGAGAAAACGTTTCTGAATTTTCATTGGATCTTAGAAAGTTGTCTAGATATTGTAATTTTGGCACATTTCCGTCAAAAGCCCTGAGAAACCAATTCATACTCGGGCTAAGGGATGAAAAAATACAGGCAAGGTTAATTACTCTAAGTGACAGTGATTTGAGTTTTGAAAAAGCTGTAGACATGGCTCAAGTAATTGAAAAGGCTCAAAACGATTCAATAACAATCCAATCAAAATTCAATCATGAAAACAATGAATTGCCGGTTAACTTAAATGTTGTACAACAGAAAAGTTTTCAAAAACCTAAAAACAGTACCAATCTTAAACAATGTTACCGTTGTGGAGAGTTACATGAATACATATCTGAATGCAAACACAAAAATACAACATGTAACTTCTGTAAAAAAATAGGGCATCTAGCAAAGATTTGTTTTAGGAATCCTAATGCACCTATCAAATTGCAAAGACAAAATAAGACTACATTTAACACTACTTCAAGAAATGTAAAACAAATAACAGACTCGTTTGAAGATCAAAGTGAAATATTTCTACAACAAAATATGAACAATTCTGTTAGATCCCTCTATAAGGAAACTAATGTTATTGACATTTGTTCTATGAATACATCAGAAGATAAATTTAGGAAAATAATGTTAAACATAAAAATAAATGGGAAAACTATTCCGTTTGAACTAGATACAGGAGCAGGGGTATCTTTGATGTCAAAAAGTAACTTTTCCAAGTTTTTCCCAAAACACAGACCTTTAATGAATCCAGACATAATATTAAGAGATTTCAACAAAAATGAATTTGTTCCATTGGGTAAAACCATTGTTCAGGTTGGTTACGGTAACCAAACCAAATATCTTCCATTGTATATAGTCGATGGTAATAGAGATACGATATTTGGTAGGGAATGGCTGAGATCGATTAAAATAAATTGGTCAGACATAAATAACGTTCACGGAGCTGACTTGAATAGAGTTAAACACTCAAATCCCAAAGTACACGATATTTTAATGGAATTTAAATCCATATTTGAACCAAGAGTTGGAAGTTTCAAAGGGGGAGAAGCACTTCTTAACTTAAAGCCTGACACTACACCAGTTTTTAAAAAAGCTAGACCACTACCTTATGCTTTGTTACCAAAAGTTAGTGCAGAAATCGACAGACTAGAAAAAGAAGGTATAATTACAAAGGTGAATCAGAGTTCTTGGGCTACTCCAGTTGTACCGATTATGAAGGCAAATGGGAATATCAGACTGTGTGGAGACTACAAAGTAACCCTCAATCCCCATTTGGTAATACCAGAACACAACATGCCCCGCATTGATGATATTTTGGCCAGAATGGGTAATTCGACTAAATTTACAAAGATTGATATATCCGAAGCTTACCTACACATGCCAGTGAAAGAAGAATACAGAGAATTGCTCACAATCAATACACACAAAGGTCTATATCGAGTAAATCGTCTACCATTCGGAATTGCAAGTGCACCTGCTATTTGGCAATCAGCAATGGAAAATATTCTACAAGGTATTGATGGTGTTGATGTTTTCTTTGACGATGTCAAAATAACAGCCCACAGTGAGGAAGAACATTTGAAAAGACTCCGTGCTGTATTAAATCGGTTCAAAGACAACGATTTACACATTAATGTTTCTAAATCTCAATTCCTTGTACCAGAGATTGACTTTCTTGGTTACCATGTCTCGTCAAAGGGAATAAGTAAAAGTAAACATATTACTGAAGCAATAAGAAACCTGAAGAGACCAAGTAATGTGAAAGAAGTTAGACAAATCCTTGGGTTGATAAGTTACTATCGAAAGTTTATTCCAAACTTAAGTGAAAAGATGCAAGCTATTATTAATCTCACAAGAGCTAATGTACCTTTTAATTGGACTGAAGAATGTGAACGAGATTTTCAATTGGTGAAGGAGGAAATGATGTCAGAGAATATACTATGCCATTTTGACCCACACTTACCACTCATTCTAGCAACAGATGCTAGTCAATCTGGAATTTCGGCAATTCTTTCTCATGTGTTTCCGGATGGAAACGAAAGACCTGTTGCATTTGCTTCCAAAACACTATCACAAACACAAAAACAGTACAGTGTCATACAAAAAGAAGCCCTGGCAATTTATTTTGGAGTTAAACACTTTTACCAATACCTTTATGGACGTCATTTCACCCTAGTTACAGACCACAAACCCCTGGTATCAATATTTGGACCGAAAAATGGAATACCACTTATGGCCGCAACAAGACTACAACATTATGCTATATTCCTTCAGGC